ATGTCAATGGTATACTTGGTGTCAAATAAATGTCGAGCTATTGCACCGTTGAAAGCCTTTGTCCCTTTGTAGTCTCAATTTTTTTGGAATGACAACAAAGTACATATTGTCGAAGTATATTCAGTCATAAATTAAACAACTATTAACAAATTGAATTTATATTTATTCTTATATTAAAGGTTCGTTTATCTGTGAAATTACCTCATCGAAGACCAGTTACATTCTGTGGTGGGACATTAATTGCACCACAATGGATATTAACTGCAGCTCATTGTGTTCTAGTGGAAAATAAACATATTCCAGTTGGAAAACCAGTTATGTTAGCTGATCATATGAAAAGTACAATCTATGCACATTTAGGTGATCATGATCGATATAAAAAAGAAGCTGCACAAGTTGATCATCGTGTTACTGTTGCTATACTTCATCCAAATTATCATAGAAAATTACAAACTGATGGATATGATATTGCATTGTTACGTCTATCAGAACCAGTTAAAACAAGTATGTCTATTCCTGCCGTTATCTGCTATATATACCTTATAGTTTACACCATTAATTAATCTTAGTCAGATGACTTTTGAAAACCTGGAAGTCATGAACAGTCGTTTAGTCCCAGTAAGGAAATCCTCAGGAGTACACATCCATAAATTCATCACTGGGAACAGAACTCATGGCTTTCATTCTCGCACTTGAAGGTCTAACCTCTAGACCATTGGACTGGAATCAAATAGTGCATATGCTTAACTTCAATCAACTCACGATATTTGATGACTGACTGCTAACAGTTTCAAACTCGAGATGGTTGAACTCCATTGGTCACGACTTCTAACTAAACTGGAGATTATTAAATTTCCTTTTTCTATGTTACAAACTACTCCTAGAAAACCATTAAAAGTCAAGAATATGTTTTATTTGTTAAAGTGTTCGATAAAATTGGTACACAATTTTGAAACCTTTCATATAAGAGGCTTTCGAAGCATCTAGTCTATCCAATAAGTATTCGAAAGGAGATTCCAGGTCACATTAGTATTACTTACTTACTTACTGAAATGGTTTGAATTGTTTTTGCTGGTTAGCGTTTTTTTAGCGAGTTAGTTTTCTACGGGATGGGGTCGCTAACCCCATACCCAACCCTCCTCCTTTACCCGGGCTTGGGACCGGCAGTAAGTTCGGAAAAGCTACAGGTGGAGTTTCACATTAGTATTACTGACGCCAAAATACTTAGTTTTTATGATGATGCATTTGTCAAATCTCTGTTTCCGTCATTCAGCTGCATCTGTAGAAGTTCCAGAAAATCAGAATTTTCAACTTCCTACTCGTCTGATATTATATAGTTTACGCATTGTCCCAAGATTATTGAGTACCTTTAGGGTTTTGTATATTTCTACAACATATAATAATGATAACTGGTACAAGAACAGAAAATGAATAATAATCAATCACAAAAAAGGGAAGAATCTACACATTGAACAGGTACAACGAGTGATTTACGGTTATACTAACATAGAAATCACATCATTTATTCATCGGTAGTTAGACAAATATAGACCATCAAGATCAAACTGATCGAGAGTACTACAGGTTGTAGAACACTGATATTGTCAGTCGGTTAGTCAGCTACAACGTAGGACAAAGCACATATATACATCGGTCTAAGATGCCGTACATCATTAGCACAGTAAGATGAACACTGAATTCATAGAAGTAGTCAATTCAATGGTAGTAATATAAAAAAGAAAGATTGCATATAAGGATCTAGTAAAGGAAGAGAAAATGAGTTGATAGAGAGGGAGAAAGTAATCCTGATCTCATAGTTTAAGGGAAGACAGAGATTGTATACACCTACGCCATTGTGATCGAGTCTGACCCGTGTCACAGACAGTCTCCAAACATTGATATTGACAACTCTTTTGTTTAATAATCACAATTGAGAGTAGTAGAGGCTCATTTTGGGTTTTTTACTAGATATAGTATCTAAATTCTTGATATTTTTTTTTATTGAGATCATGAATTGATTTATGTTAGATCATCATTGAAAATCTGGAATCATTGAACGGCCGTTCCGTCCTAGTATGGGACTCCTCAGTAGTGCGCATCCATGATGCAGCTCACGGATTCAAACCCAGGGTCTTCAGTCTCGCAATCGAACGCTTAACTTCTAGACCACTGAGCTGGCTGGCATTCAATGATGTTAATGTATAAACTCAACCAATCCACAAAATTGCGTGACCATCTTGCATTGTAATGAGGTAAATACCTGTATTATCCAACACGGATTAACTCCATTGGTCACTGCTTCTCACTAGAACTCTGAGAATTCCCTCACGAATCTAGTCACTAGTAAGCAAATGGTAATTATCAGTATGCGGTTGTGAAGATTATTAATTATTTGATTGAGATCATGAACCGATTGATGTTAGACCACCACTGAAAACCTGAAAGCACCGGACCTCCGTTTTTCATTCTATTGTATGACTCTTCAACAATGCACATCTTCGTTCCCCGCTCGCTGTCTTCGAACTCATGACCTTCAGTTTCAAATTATTCATTTTAAATTCTTTTTTTTTCTTTTTTTTTAGCACCAGAAATTGATTTTGCATGTTTACCAACAAAAGATTTAAAATTAACACCAAATTCCAAATGTTATGCTGTTGGTTGGGGTAGTAATAAAGGTGCAAAAATACCAACATTTGATAATATACATAGTATATTAGAATCATTATTTTTACCATTTCCATCATTATTTACAACACCATTTAGATTTGGTAGAAGTGAATCAACAATATGGAATATTAAAAAATTAGAAGAAGAAGAATCATCAAGAGAATTACATGAAGTTGAATTACCAATTGTTTCTATAGAAGATTGTCGTAAACATTATGCTGATATTAGTTCTAAAGTTCATGTATGTGCTGGTGCTAGAAATAAAGTAAGAAATGATTTTGTTTTATTCTTTTGGTATATACATTAAAAATGAAGAAAATTTATGAAAATCTCAATCAAGAGCTTAATAATCTTCATAACCATATACTTATTAGTGACTAGTTTCATGAAGGAATTCTCAGAGTTCTAGTGAGAAGCAGTAACCAGTAGAGTTATTCTCTGTCAGGTAGTGAGAGATTTCTACCTCAGTACAATGGAAGATAGTCACGCGATTTTGTGGATTGGTTGAGATAAGACATTTACATCATTGGATGTCAGCCGACTCAGTGGTCTAGAAGTTAAGCGTTCGAGAGTAAGACTGAAGTCCCTGGGTTTGAATCCTGCTTGCGGGGATCGTAGATGTGCACTGCTGAGAAGTCATATAATAAGGCTAAACGGAGATCCAGTACTTCAAGGTTTTCAATGATGATCTAACATTAATAGGTTCATGATCTCAATCAAAAAGTTAATAATCTCCACAATCCCATACTGTTAATCACTAATAGTAGAATCCATCTACTGATTCATTCTGTTTGAAACTCATCAGTTAGATGTACTTGCAGTTCAATGTTCATGTACATATTGAGATTTGATCATTAAAGTGTCAATCTCTAGTATTAAAAAAGAACTTATTAGTAAAATACACTTTCGTTGATATAAATAAATGAATAACTGAGATTACTTACATACTTACTTACTTATGCCTGTTATCTCTCGCAGAGGAGTATAGGCCGATCACCAGGCATCCTCCATCCAACTCTGTCTTGGGCAATCTTTTCCATTTCTTTTCAGTTGCTATTCATGTTTATTAATTCTTCTTTTACAATAGTGAGAGGATATATATTCAAAGTATAAATACATGAACTGAGTATTTATCCTAATATACCTTCTAATTAAGAAATTATCTGATTAATTGCATATACAATTACAACATATAACAATAGGCTGATGAAATAATGATGACTGATGCTTTTAATATAGTGAATCTGTCAGTAAAAGAACTGAAATTGATCGTTTAAGGATAGTTTAAGAAAGAAGCTACAAGATCATATATGGTTCTAGATTATACTTAACTGACAACGTATTTCATCTACTTTTTTTGTTGTCGAAGAAGTTGATATTTTAAGTAAAGTACTAACCCACTTCTTTTAAGATCAACATTAGAAGTGGTATTGAAGTGAACAAGAACACGGGTGGGAACAATCGAATGTATTTAGTACGAAAATTACAGACTATCTCAATAAAATCTGAATATCATAAAGTCAATCGTCAATTTGCAAAATATCAATGCATCATATTAAACTGGACTGTTTCCGTTGCAAACACTAATCCATTGTCTCCCATTCCATTGTACATGCGTTTTCTTACAAATTCCATTGTGCTATAGCTCTTCTTTTCTTGATCTTCACCTCATCTTCTGCTGCCAGATATTACGTTTAACTCGCGACATATACTACTTATATCAATATAAGTAGTACACACCACAGTATCACTAAGCTATTTGAGCTGCAACTGACTTAATTTAGAAGTAAGATATTTCAAATAATCAATTATTGTGTAATAACTGACATGTAGTTTCTTCTTGTTTTTAATACTGATGTAACACATTCAAACGTAGTACGCTTATTATTCAAGTCGATTATACCATTAGTAACATTGTTTATCGTTTGATAGGAGTTGATTAACTCTAAAGAATAGTTAATTATCAAATTAGTTAACATACTTTGATTCATCAGTCTTCAGATGACAATTTTTCTAATGTTTATACGGTGAGACTGTAATTTATGAATGAATCAATCACGTATAAGATTGTAGGTCTCGGATTTTGGCGCGAAAATCACTCATCCATTTGATTAAATAAAGTTTTGGTATTTTAGGTGATATCAATTCATGATAAAAACCCGAAATCTAATTCCTAACCTTAATCATCAACTGTAAATCATAGTTGTAATTCCTTATACTGGTTTATAATCCTCATTTGGTCATGGTTATTAAGTGAACACTCTCAAGGTCAGTCTAGAGTCACTCAAAGGTTGTTCATAAATTATAGTCTCACTGTTTGTACTCAATAGTAAGAATGATTGTATGGATTCGTTCATCCTTTATATTTAATCATCAATCTATCATCAACTGTTCATAAGACCGATGACATCCTGGATTAAAGAAAACATCAAAAGTTTGCAATTTATTGTGGTTTCCTATTGTTCGTAGGGTAAATCGATGATGAGCTAAATTTATGAAAATCATTAATGAATATAATTCCAGTAAAAAAAGAGGAAAAATGACAAGTTGGTCAATGAGCATGATTACTGTTGACTTGCAAAGGAATTTTCAACGGTGGAAACGGATATCGGTCAGTCAGTCAACAACAACAACGTAGAACTTCGTACGTACGTACATCAGTTCAAGTTGCAATACCACATTAACACACAGATACAATTTTCGATTCAAATCCAAAAGTGGTAGAGGTAGTAAAAGTATAGGCAATAATCGGAAAGACTACGGTTTGAAGATGTTATTCAAGAAGTACAACCCAGTGAAGTAAATTTGGAAAGAAAAATTCAGAAACTTAGAATTTGGGAGAACACAAAGAGTGTATCCACCTGCACCATTGACAACGATTTTGAGCCATGTCATTCAGGGTCTCTAACCATCGGTTGCTATCACCTCACGGATTCCAAACAGATAGTCTACACCTAACAACACGGCTCAGTCCATTTATCAGTGACTTCATGGATTTGTGTCATGCTTTGGTCTGACCGCCCCTAGCTTTCTTCCAACCTACTCCTACACCATAAAACATCGCACGTCGGGGCAGTCGGTTGTTGGACGTATGTAACACGTGTAGTAACCATCTCAACTGATGAAGTTCCACTACTTCATCATTTGAATTACCATCCTTATGTAGTACCTGTTTCCTAACAACTACATTACTTACCCGGTGGTCGCAGGATATACGAGCAATGCTTCGAAGATACCTATGATCAAATACCAGTAACCTACATATATCCTCTACTCTTACCGACCATGTTCACTGCCATAAAGTAAGACGGAAAGAACTGCTGCACAGTAAACCCGTCCTTTGGTTGATAGACGGATATCTCGCCTACGCCATAAATGACGCAATTTGGTAAAAACTAGTCGAGTCTTCTGTATCCGTGCTGAAATTTCGTTACACATCAGACCACAAAGGCTGATGAGACTCCTAAGATAAGTGAAGTGGACGACACTCTCAACTACTTCACTCCCTATCATTAGTTCAGGTGCCGATGCAGCCCAATCCTGAAGCAACATTTTGCATAAATGATACTATATTATTTTATTATATTTTACCATGTCATATAATAAAAAGTAAATTGAGATAAACTATGATTACTATATTTGAATAGGTTCAATGTTTTAACTATCTATTTTATTTGAACACATAAATATTGTTACAAAGGGGCATGGAATACATAGGCGCCACACAGATAAGCCTCTTGATTTGTATGTGGGTTGTGATACTGCCCGCGTGCTTGGACCGAACTCTTTAGCGGTATGCATCCATGATTCCGCACACGGGACTCGAACCCATGACCTTCGGTTTTATATGCAAACGATCAATCTCTAAATCCCTGAACATGATGATTAACTTGTTGAGACTTCTTCATACTCTTCTCATATACTTATTCCTTCTCAAATATCTACTGATTTTCTATTCAATTAGCAACCATTTTTCGTTTCTTTTTTTAATTTGAATCCTTAGGATACATGTGCAGGTGATAGTGGTGGTGGTCTTTATTGTTATTTAGAAGAGACTAATCGTTGGCATGTTGTTGGTGTAACAAGTTTTGGTTTAGCACGTGGTTGTGGTTTAAATCCTGGTGTTTATACATCAACAACATCACATATGGATTGGTTATCAAAACAATTAGCAACAAAGATATTTTAAATAAAATCAAAAAAAAGAAAGAAAAAAAAGGAGAAAAAAAGAAAAAAATCAATAAGAAAAAAAACATACTATTGATAATAATAATAATAATAATCTCTATCAGTTACTTTATTAAGATTTCTTCTAACGAAAAATCGATATGAATATGATCAATTGAATATTGAATATATTTTTTATTGATTTTATTATTTATGTAAATTTATTAGATAAATTAGTAATTAAAATATACCCCCCCCCAATTTTGTTTTGTTTATTTAAACATATAAACATTGGTATAAAGATTCATGAAATAGATTTATGTTAGGGGGTCGGATACTACCCGGGTGCTCACCAAACCGAAGCAAGTGACCTTCTTAGGGAGCCACAACCCGAGACACTAACTTAAAGGTCTAGTCCACAAGGTAGTGGAGTAACGTCAGGAGATGTAGTACCATGGCAGCTGGTGACCAACGATTGGTTCATACACTATTTGTTCCCTCAGGATACTGGAGACCATGTGCACCATTGGTTTGAAATCTGTTTTAAAACTTTTCTAGGTGGACTCTGTGTGTCCTCCAACCCGGTTAAATCGCCGGATATTCGCTTTCGTCTTCTCAATTTTGTAAACGACACCCGTGGTGTGAGAAGGCAGTGAGTACGACTTACCTGGCAGTGGCTGTATACCTGGAGCGCCCGTGCGGTAGGTGGGCATTCTACCATTGAATCACCGACGCGATGTTCTAGGTTCTACAGCACATATGACGAATGCATCTGTATGACCTAATGTTCTAACCATGAGACATGAATGTTGTAGGTTTGTTCGTTTTGGGAATCTTTGGTGACCACCACTGAGGATGAAACAACTAAGGTATACCATATGTTTTTATGATGCTGTGATTAAAACAATCAACTGAAAACCTGAGTGCAATAGACACCTGTTTCGTCTTAGTACGGGACTGACTCTTTCACTCACCTGGGTTCGGACCTAGGATCTTCAAGACTAGTGGAGTCTCTTAACCTTCAGATCACTTAGTCGTCATGTATTGCTTTACATTTTTAACTTAAGTATATTCATGATATTACGTGACTATCATTTGAATCCTTGTGAGATCGTGGATACACATTACTGATTAGTCCCGTACTAGGATGTAACAGGTATCTAATACTTCCTGCTTTTTATTTGTGGTCTAATGAAGGCTGGTTCGTGATATGAAACTTCAAATACTTCAAATACTATCCTGGTGCCCAAACCATAGCAGTTGGTTTTCTTAGGGAGCCACATCCGGAGCCTTCGACCCGAAAGTCTCATCCACAAGGCAGTGGAGCATCGTAAGGAGATGAAGTCAAATGGTAGCCGGTGACCAACGATTGATTCATACGCCATTTGTTCCTTCAGGATACTGGAGCCGATGTGTACCATTGGTTTGGAATGAGGGATTTCCAATTCCCCTAGGTGGACTCACCATATTGACCAACCCAGTTAAATCCCCGGACATTCGGTTTTCATCCTCTCAATTTCGTAAACAACCCCCCCCCGCCACTAGAAGGCAGTGAGTAGGAATTTCCTGGCAGAAGCTATATACGCGTGGCCATTTGAGAGCATTTCGAGAGGGAGAGCGGACTCTCTCCACTCTCGGCCGTACCAGGGCATTTGGGGGCAATAGTAGTAGAAGCAGTAGTATGAGGAATACATGTATTCAGTTTATCATAAACTTTGTCTAAAATAACAATCTTGACTTCCTAACCAAAGAATAAAAAGATATTTTGAGGTGTTTCTAGCAAATCTGAAAGTTCAGAGTTCAATTCAGTATGGAAAACAGTTTTTAAATTATTCCTAATTGGTAACCATTCTTTCTAACTGACATCAATTAGGTAATGAGAATTACCTTTTAAGCAAAGAACATGGTAAAGGAAAAACTATTTATTATGAAATTGTTTCATTTTGAAACGATAGAACAAATGAGATCAATCGAATAAATATTTATATGTACACATACACAACAAAGAAGTTTTGTTTGTTTCTCCATAAACAACAGTTTCAATCAACAAGTTGTCCTTTAATTTTAAGTTTCTTTAAAACACGTCCTTGTTCTAAAGCTGCTGCTCTTCTACGACGTTGTGAACTACCGATACCATCTCCGGCTGATGATGAATTATCCGAGTCTAGATTTCCAGTGCCTCCACCACCTCCTGACAATGCTGGAGATGATCGAGTAGTTGTTAATCCACTAGAATTATACTGTCCATTATCTGAAGAATTTACAATAGACGATGAGTTCAATCGACATTGTTTTGTATCTGATTTCTCCATTGTTGTATTCATAGGTGGAATACCACTACTTCCGCTAGTCATATTATGCATACCTAAACTTCCAGCAGCCGCAGCCAATGTACCAGCAACTCCAAGTGAATGACGCGGTAGAATTGGACGTTTTGAGTCGGCTACACGAAGTGCTGATAAAATCAATGGATCTATCAAATTATAATAAGAATCTTCAGGTGATTCGGATATACTAGGATTTGGAAGACTAGCAAGTCCACAAGGTAATGGCTAAAAGAGGAAATTAGACATTTAAAAAAAACGTTTCGTTCAACTATACACAAAAAAAATCTAGAAGAGCTTAAAATACACAATTATGAACCAGGAGATTAAAGATTGCATGTAACTGAAAACTTGATCACATTCTACAGAGGGATAGTTTTCAGGAAGTATGTCTACAAGGATAAAAGTTATTACTCTATGCTAGTACGTTAAGGAATACAATGAGTTAGTGAGAGTTACTCGCAATTATTTTTTGTGAAATCAACCTGCACCAACCTCATGTAACTATCCTGAAACATCAATGTTGATGGACTGCACATGCTTTACGTATATCGTTTCAGTACCTTTCACATAAAAATGTCAATACCGAAACTGGATGGAGAAAACTGACATTATTAGTTTATGATATGAAGTCGTAGTATGAAAGATAGTTCTGTATACGAATGACATTCACTAGTTCATCCCAACTTCCTAGTTGAAGTTCTAGCGGTTATAGAACTCAGTGATTATCTTTGTTAAAAAAACCCTAATCTTTCCGATTACTGCTTATACTCTTACCGCCTCTACAACTACGGGATTTGAATCGACAACTGCATCTCTGTGTTAATGTGGTGTGGTAACTCGAACTGATGTACGTACGTACGAAGTTCTACGTTGTTACTGACTGACTGAATTGTTAAACAACATCTATTTGTTTACAGTAATCAGGCTCAATGAAGCTAATTGATTGTGTGAAAGTATTTAGTTCGTGATATGTTGAAACAATCTAATCTAAGCACATGTTGTTGATACAAAAGACTGTAAGTGATGAATTCCTGTTGTCGCATATGCATCATGAACAAATTACCTCGATATAGTCTGTTTAGTTGAAAGTCACACTTCAAGATGTCACATGGATATCTGTTTCCTGTGGGTTAGACCTAGAAAATGCATACATCCAGATTGACTACATCAGTACTAATGCAGTAACCTTTTCAAGTTCTTCAATCAGAAGTAACCATCAGAATATGATCAACTGAAAAGTGACAACTGTCCACCAACCTCTAACAACATTTTTAATTATATTTTCATTATATGGTATGTGCTTTGCACCTTCGAAGTACAAAGTACTTTTACAAGACTGGAAGGATTCTAATCCTGTACTCACTCTGGATGGTGAGCAGATAGAAGTAGTCGAGAAGTTCTTGTATCTGGGTAGTTGTATGAGTGCTGGTGGGGGAGTGAGTGATGAGATCAATACACGTATAGTGAAAGCCAGAGCGGCTTATGCCAATCTGGGCCACCTTTGGCGCCTTCGTGATGTTAGTCTGGCTGTAAAAGGTAGAATCTACAACGCGTCGGTGAGAGCAGTTTTGCTCTATGCTTGTGAAACCTGGCCTGTCCGAGTTGAGGACGTTAAACGACTCTCTGTGTTTGATCATCGCTGTCTCCGAAGGATTGCTGACATCCAGTGGCAACACCATGTCAGTAATGCAGAGGTTCGGCATCGTGTGTTCGGGCACGCAGATGATAATGCAATCGGTGTCACCATCTTGAAACATCGACTTCGGTGGCTTGGACATGTTCTACGAATGTCATTCCAGAGAATTCCACATCGTGCATTATTTGCCGACTCTGGGACTGTTTGGAAAAAGCGGAGAGGTGGTCAGTGTATGACATGGTGTCGTGGCATGAAAGAAAGCTGCAAAGGACTGGCTTGTGTTGGTCCTTCACGACTCCCTAGTTGGGGTCCGAGAGATGGTGCAACACAGTGGCTAGAGACGTTATCAGATATGGCTCGAAATAGAAGCCAATGGCGATCCTGTTGTAACCTTCTTCCACTTTCTTCATAAAAAATGGTTGTTTCTTCCCAAACTGAAAGATTTCTCCTCATTGTACCATTCCGTTTCCCCCATTATTACTATTATTATTATTACACGACTTTGCACTAATCTGCTCGTTATTGTTCCTTTTTTTCTCTTCGAATCCTCATTGTTTTGTGTGGCGCATATATATTTGGTGCCCTCTTGTATGAATATTTATGTATCCAAATAAAATAAAATTAAACCTCTAACAACACTTGAAATCACTCTCGTTATGACTAACAGAAAAAAAATGGCAAAAATTACTTTATTAGGAGCAAATGTTTCTAGTCGTAGCCGAGCTGAGTGTAGTTCCAAGTCACAATTTAATAGAGCTAGACGTAAATCGAATAAAAGTAGAATTTTTGAACGTAAACCATTATACGCTTCAACAATTTCTGCCGTTGCCGGTGGATTAGGATCTGGAAAAATTGTAAAAATGAAAATATTTCACTAATATCTAATCAACCAAAAAAGAGAAGAATAACCATATTTGATTAAAAAAGAACCAAGTACATCCCAGTCAGTTAAATGCAATGTAGACCACCACAACTAGATGGTCTGTACCTACGTACACGGCTCAGTTTAACAGCTCATGTCTTTCATGGACTGATATCATATATTGGTCTGGCCACTTCAAGCTATCTTCCAACCCACTACTACACGCGTCATCATCTCGCGTCAATGTATTCGGTAGATGAGCATATGTAATACATGAGCTAACCATCGCAGCTGATAAAGATTTACTATAATTACTTAATGCTTTGTGTCTGACCTCAGAACTGTTAAGCTGGTGGCTGAGAAATACATGAACAATGGTTCGAAGACACCTACGATCGAATACTAGTAACGTATGAATATACTCTATTTTTTAAAA